TAATAATAAATACAATTCACAGTAGTTGTGAGCTATTGGGATATCAATGCAGGATCTCTACAGGATAGAAGAGGTGTGCCTTCTACTTACTACCCTCCTGAAAGGAGTTAAATCAAAATTCAGCAGTGCATCTCACAGATCACAGTAACTTTCTGTTAAAACCGCCAACTTCATGTGAAACAGATTTATTAGCGACGAATTTTTCTCCTCCTTTCTCCCCTCTCCCATTCCATACACAATTAAAAGCAACTTTTAAAATTTTATTTGATGTACTAGCATACAAGATGGGGTTGAAGAACAGGAATAGGAACTCCTAGTACAGTGATCTAATAGTTCAGTTGAACAGACAAGCGCTGTCATTCCCTTGGTCATACTAAAAGTCTCTCTATATTGTTCCAACCATGGTCTTGAGAGGCCTGATCAGAAAGATATATGACTTGAGAAGCAAAAGAAGCAGGAACATTCTGTTAGCCTCAAACCTCTCTAGATCAGCCTAGTGGGAGAAAGACTGCTCCCCTCTCCTTTTTGAACTCTTCCCTTAAATGTTGGATTTGTCCAATGTAGAACCACCGCCAAATAAAGCAAAGCACAGGGAGCAAGTTGGCAAGGAGGCGACAGTTTAGTTTTGAAAATAAAAAGGATATGTTTCTATGATAAGTGACATAACTTTCTTGCATAACCATTTAAAGACCATTGATGTGAAAATAACAAAACAGCAAAGTTGCATTCAGGTTCATAGAGCTCAAGATGCCAGTTCTGTTAGCTCTACATCAGCCTTTTCTTTCCATAGGTGTACATAAACTCTTTTCAGATTTGAAAGAATTGAACACCAACAAGCATGTTTCTATAGTAAGAACAATTTAAACAAAAAAAAAAAATAAAAGAAGAAATCATTATTTCCCTTTTTCAAACACACAGAAAAACATTAGTTGCTGGAGAAAATGACACTCTGAAGTATTATTTAAGTGAAAATTACAGGGCAGTTGACACAGAATTCCCAACCACATACATCTGTGTATGACTAAGGATATAAAACAAGATCTCATGTGACCTTTCAATCTTAGACATAATGATTAGCCTATAATATTGCTAGTCTGTTCCCAGCTCTCCTGAAGTCTTATTAAAAAACACCCTTTCAAGACACATTTCTCTCCCCTTAACAGGCAAACTCCTTTGCTGCCAAGAAAAGCAAGCAAGAGAGAACCGTATGAAACACCACATACGTCGGATTGAGTGTTAGGAAAACCGAGCGATTAGCTTACAGCCATGCTATCACCAGGTGCAGCGAGCAGCAGAAAATACAATCAGAAAGGGGGCACATAACAAGCTGATAAAAGCTGCAAGCAGAGAGGTAGCCAGCGTAACCACCCAGATCAAGCTGCAGAAAGAAGCTGTAACAAGTCACTGTAGTATCCTACAGCCTGAGCAGGCTACTGGTGCACCAGGCACACAGCAGCTTCACCTCTTTCACTGCTGGTGTAATCCAGCAGTAACGATGCTCTCACTTCTACCCCACCATCCTTTGAACAAAGCGTGGCATCTTAATTCATTTTGCTTCATTCTTAAAAATATTTTAAAATCCACTGAAATGGAAGAGTACACTTCATATATCAAGAAACTACAGTGGGATGCTATCCTTTATATGCTTTAAACCGGTTTGTTTCTTTTTGGTGTTTTTTTTTTTTTTTTTTTTTTTAATCACCTAACATCTAGTAGACTGAGGTGATGACACATCTAGTTTGAAGAAAAAATTTAAGTGTAGATCAACTATTGAATTTGTAATTTTTGTCTGCCTTCTATATAACCTCTTATAAGTCAATGTAATTTCAGTTTTAGATTTCTATTATCCTTTCTATGGATCATTCCCACATAAACACCCCTCCCTTTTCTCTTTTTTCATAGCTCCTAGACCATGCAAAATTCCTTTTTTCTCCCCCATCCTTTTACTTGAGCTCTGGCTGCACTTTCAGCAGTAATTGTGGTTTAACAGCTTAACCCATTTTCCAACATTAATAGTTTCTGAATTACCTTCTTACAATAGGAGGTAGGTGAAGAGCCCAAAACTAATGTAGACATGGCAGGTTTCTAGTTATGCGGAGAGCTATTTATCAAAAACTAGCCCTTTTTCTTCCCATTTTCTCTCTCCCTCTCTTTCTTTTCTTTCCACCCTCACCTACATCCATACGGAAAAAACCCAACATCCAACCTTAAAAAAATCATACTGTATTCAGAGACACATTTTGGTTGGCAGTACCTTGATCCAGACTTCAATATATGTTATACTGGTCATGATTAAATATTCTAGTGGAATGTAAAATAACTGGTTTAGCTCTCAAATGCTGTTTTCTTTTCTTAGAAAAATGGTTGAAAAAAGTACTGACTTCAGAAATCTTTAACTTTATTTTTGTGGATCCAAACCTCATTTAGGCAAAATCTGGATAACCAGTAGCATCCAGAAAAAGTTACAAAAAAAATAACTCCTCCCTTCCAGTTAGCTACTAGCTGAAGTACGTTTCAGAGTACCCAGGATGATAATTTTAAAACCTATTCCAAAGACTACTTTATATGTAGTTCAGAATTCTAAAATAATCAAAAACAAGTTTTGAAAATGATGATTCCAATTCCTTTTGAAGCTTTCCAATTAGACAAAAATAACAAATAATTTCATAAGAACTGTTTAACATAAATCAGGGATATATTTAATACGTGGAGTGTGGCAGCTAAATTCAGCCAATATACCCTCATTTCAAAAATAGCCACAATTATTTTCAAATAATTAAAGTAAGTTAAAAAAACATAGCCAGGCCCACAAAAACACATAGCCAAAAAACGCTTTCTTTGACAAACCACCAAGGTAGCTTGGCTTGCTTTAGAGCTGAAAAGTATCACCTGCCCAGTGATATTCATCTAAAAAGATGCTTATCAGCTGGTTAGAAGGATTTGCAGACCCAGCATAGAAGCAGGTAAGGGTGGAAATGGGGAAAGGAAGGACAGTTACAGTAGAAGAGGACAGCACAGTCCCAGCATCAGTAAGTCAGAGTCTATAGTGGCTCATACACTCTTCAGACAACCCTAAAATAACTGAGGATTTAGTTTACCACTTCTTATTCAAGCCACCTTACAAGAATTTTTATAATTACTTCAAAAAGTTGATATTGCAAACAATGGGGGGAATCTGATGATATTTACACCCACTTCCTCCCTTAATCATCAGTATCTCATCTTCCGACAGCAATCTGTACTAGTAAATACAAAATTGTAACGCAAACAACCAAACCAAACAAAAAAACCCCACAAAACCAATTTGTATGAAAATTCTATGGTTTTGAAATCCATTTTCTACTGATAAATAGCTGTAGAGCTCCCTAGCTCTTTGGCATCTTCATGGAGAGGATATATCAAACCCCTTTGTGTTATGTTTAAAAACAACATAATTTACCCTATGTATTCCGATTCCTTCTTAGAACTGTTAGAAACCATGATATTAAAAAATTCTGTTCTGATGGAACTCAGAAATGAAAACCTTAAATGGAAAGTTATTCAAGTTATTTCATTAATTTAGCACATATCAATCCTTAAACAACTTTTAACTATATTTGGAAACTGAGCTTGATACCCTATCAAATCAACACAAATATGTCATTATATTCAAATGTCTAGAAAACTTAATGAAAGAAAACATAAGCACACTAAGATTAAAGAGAATATTTAAAACCACAGATTCTGCGTCTGCTGTGAGGTCACCTCCCGAAATGTCACAGTGCATGCTAATCACATCCTTCGCATTAGTGCAGATGCAGCACTCGATGAAGTCAGATACATGTACTTGCAATGATAACCCCTTCATGAAGATTTCCATCATGAGACTGTCAAACCGTATAGTATAACAATTTCCAGTACTCAGGTTTAATCAAGCTAGACAAAACTGTTGGAGACACTCCAACTGTTTTACGGCTTAGGGCATCAAGGATCCTGAGATCGCTTCCCAAATGCCATCAGATGCTATATCTCCCAGACTTGGAATTCTGGCTTCCTGCT